TTCCCTCTGCTGCACCATTTCCAGCGGCAGCCCACAGAATATCAGCTGTTGCTTCTGCTGCTGCTACTAAATTATTCACTGAGCCCCCCTCGCTGCTGCTGCTGCTGCTGCTGCTGCTGCTTCCTTCTGCTGCTGCTGCAGCAAGAGCCAGCGGCTCCAGCACCTGCTGCAGCCCCCGGCCCTTCGGAATGCATGCAGCTGCCCACATGCCTGCTGCTGCAGCAGCACCGCAGCAGCAGACACGCCTCAGTGCTTTAATGAGAGAAGCAGCAGCATCTAGAAAGAAGGCCTGCTGCTCTCTCACCACTTGCTGCTGCTGCTGCTGCTGCTGCTGCTGCTGCAGCAAACGCGTCACGGAGTGCAGCGCAGCCCATAAAGCAGCAGCAAGCTGCTGCCTCGCCGCCGGCCCGCTGCATGCGCAAACTTCTGCGGGAACAGACAGCAGAAGCCCGCGGCTGATTTCCTGCAGCGCAGCAACTGCTGCTGCTGCTGCTGCTGCTGCTGCTGCTGCTGTTGCTGCTGCTGCTGTTGGTGCCCCGTCCTCCGTGCAGCGCCGTCGCTTCTTCTGGCGGGGGCTTGAAGCCTCTTCTGCTGCTGCTGCTGCTGCTGCTTCTGGGCAGTTAGAAGCAGCAGCAGCAGCTGCTGCTGCAGCTGACTGCAGCAAATCGGAACAACGGCGCAGCAGCAGCGGGGCTGCGCTCCTCTCCTCCAGCAGCTCAGGTGGCAGCACCCACTGCCCCACAACGTGCTGCGCCGCAGCTGCAGCAGCAGCAGCTGCTGCTGCTGCTCCAGCGCTTCCAGCTGCTGCTGCCGCTGCTGCTGCTGCTGCTGCTGGCAGGGGATCCTGCATGCAGTAATTGGCAGCCCCTGTAAGAATGCAGCAGCTCATTGGCTCCCCACAGACGGCGCAGCAGCAGCTAGACTCTTTTGCTGCTGCTGCTACACGAGCCATGAGGCGGAAGAGCAGCGGGAAGTGTGGCTGCAGCCACCGCGCATCTGCTGCTGCTGCTGCTGCTGCTGCTGCTGCTGTTGCTGCTGGTTTACCTGCTGCTGGATGTAGGTCTATTTTCCTGCTGCAGCAGCAGCGCTGGTGCAGAGATCGCAGCAGCAGGCGAGCGGTGGCCTTCTTCATCTGCTGCAGACCCACCTCGTGCTGCAGCAGCAGCAGCAGCACTGCTGCTTTACTGGCAGCAGATGCTGCCTCCTCTCTGTAAGCATCCTCTTGCTGCTGCTGCTGCTGCGCCGCAGAATCCTGCAGCAAGTCCAGCAGCAGCAGCTGTTCCAACCGCTGCAAGGCTCGGGTCTGCTGCAGCTGCAGCAGCTGCTGCTGCTGGTGCATTTCGAAGAGCCTTTGCTGCTGCTCCGCGTCTGCATCTGCAAGTCTGCCGCTGATAGGAAGCTGCTGCTGCTGCTGCTGCTGCTGCTTGTGCTGCTGCTGTTGCTGCTGGATAGCCCGCGTGGCCTGCGATACGGCAAGGACTGCTTCCGAAAGAGCAGCAGCACTCGAAGCTGCCGGCAGCGCAGCAGCAGCAGCAGCAGCAGCAGCAGCAGCTTGTGGCGCCTCTGCAGCAAAATAGGGAGCAGCAAATGAGCGAACATGGCGCAGCAGCAGACACACAGAAAGGCGCAGCGCATCGCGGCCTCGAAAGAGCAGCTGCAGCAGCAGCAGCAGCTGCTGGTGCTGCTGCTGCTGCTGCTGCTGCTGTTCTGCTGCAGCTAGTCGATGCAGCAGTGGCTGCAAATCGATGATTGGGGCTGTTGCTGCTGGAACTGCCTCGAGAAGCCGCAGCAGCAGCAGCTCCTGCTGCTGCTGCGGCTGCTGCTGCACTCCGCGCAAGAAGGCGCCCATCACCAGCTGCGCTGCAGCAGCATTGATAGCTAGTGTCGAGAAGCTCCTTCCAAGCTGCTGCTGCTGCTGCTGCTGCTGCTGCTGCTGCAGCTGCTGCTGGAGTCTCTGCATCAACGCCGTTGTGGTGTGCTGCAGCAGCTGCTGCAGCCGCTGCAGCAGCAGCGGCAGCTGCGAAGCAAGGGCGGAGCCAGCAGCAGCAGCAACTGTGTCTAGAAAGTCCTCGCGCAAGGCGAAGGTCAAGCAGCCACCTGAGAGCAGCAGCAGCAGCAGCAGCAGCAGCAGCAGCAGAAGCCACACAGCCACATAAGCAGCAGCAGCAGCAGCAGCTGCAAAAGCAATCGCAGCGGGAGCAGCAGCAGCACAAGCAACTGCCGCAGCAGCAGCAGCAGCAGCAGCAAAAGAGAGAACTAGCAGCTGGAGGCAGAGATGGCAACTGCAGAACTTCAAAAATAAATAAAAGTAAAAATGTTTTTAAAGAAATAAATAAATAAATAAATAAATAAATAAATAAATAAATAAATAAATAAATAAAAAGAAAAAAGTACCACGAGCCCTCGAGACAGCCGAAAGCGCCCCAAGCTTCCGCTGCATTTCCTGCAGCATGTTGCTGCTGCTGCTGCCGCTGCTGCTGCTGCTGCTGCTGCTGCTGCTGCTTGTTGCTGCTATCCCCACATGCCTCTCAATTGCTGCCAGCAGCGCGGGCACGTCATTCATCCGGGTGTACGTACACCCCAGCAGCCGCAGGAACTCCGTGCTGCAGCAGCAAAAGCAGCAGCAAGAGCAGCAGCAAACAGGGCCAATGCATCTGCAACAGGCAGCAGCAGCTGCAGAGTGCAAAGCGAAGCAGCAAAGGCAGCAGCAGCAGCAGCAACACCGGCACCTGCGCTTCCATAACAGCAGCAGCAGCAGCAGCTGTAGCTGCCCCATCACTAAGTGCGCCACAGCAGCAGCAGCAGCAGCAGCAGCAGCAGCAGCAGCAGCAGCAGCTTTGCCATACCTGCCAGAGCAGAAGAAGACGTCTGTGTCTTCAAGACTGCAAGCAGCAGCAAGGCAGTTCCTAAGCTTTTGTGTGGGGTCGCATGCTGCTGCAGCATGCAGCAGCACGTGCTGCTGCTGCTGCAGCACGAACACCTGCTGCAGCAGCCCCTCAAAGTCCCGCGGCAGCAGCTGCAGCAGCAGCGCAGCACCGCCCCACAAAGTGCGCAGCAAGCAGCAGAGCTGCAGCAGCAAAGGGGGAGGCAGCACTGCCCGCGAGGAGTAGAGACACCCGAGCACGTCCTCGTCCTCATCTGCTGCTGCTGCTGCTGCTGCTGCTGCTGCTGCTGCTGCTGCTGCTGCTGCTGCAGCAAGCCCCAAGCGGGCCCGCAGCTGCTGCAGCAGCGCATGCACTCCCCGCAAGCAGCGGCAGCAAAATGCTGATAAATAATTTAAGTGCCGCCGCTGGCCCAGCAGCCGAGGGCTCAGCAGCGAGGAGCTGCACAGGCTGCACGCAGACCCCACAAGCAGCAGCAGCAGCAGCAGCAGCAGCAGCAGCAGCAGCAGCAGGTGAAATCGCAGTCCAGCAGCAGCAGCAGCAACAATACCGCCGCAGCAGCAGCAACAGCAGCACTTGAAGAGCCACAGGCTGCAGCTTACTGATGCCACGCCCCCACAGCTGCCTCCCAGCGGATGCTTTCTGCGCAAAGAAGGGCTTCCTGCTGCTGCTGCTGCTGCTGCTGCTGCTGCTGCTGCTGCTGCTGAGCTTCAGGAAGCGCAGCAAGAGGCAGCTGCAAGATCGGCTCCAGTGTCGACAGCAGCAGCAGAAATCCGTCGAGAGCAGCAACATTATGCAATGCGGTCTCTCCCTCTGCAGAAGCTGCTTTTGCTGCTGCTGCTGCTGCTGCTGCTGCTGCTGGTGCTGCTGCTGCTGCTGCTGCTGTGTCTGCGCATGCAGCACTGATGCCGTTCAGCAGCAGCACAGCTACGTCAGGCAGCTGCTGCAGTAGCCCCAGTGCTGGCAGCAAAGAGTAGAGGGGCCCCACACTTGTCCCAAGCACCCGATGTTGCTGCTGCTTCTGCTGCTGCTGCTGCTGCAGCAGCTGCTGCTGCTGCTGCACCATGGCAGCTATAGCAGCAAACAGCAACCGATGAGCACTTGGGTCCCCCTTCTGGGCAGGCTGAAGCACTGATAGCACGCCGCGCTGCTGTTGCTGCTGCTGCTGTTGCTGCTGCTGCTGCTGCTGCTGCTGCAGCAGCATTGAGCGTTCTGCAGCTTCTGCTGCAGCACTTTCTGTGTCAAGTGCCTCCCTGTGCTGCTGCTGCTGCCCCAGCAGCAGCAAATCAGCAGCAAGCGGAGACAGCACGGCGAGCCCCACAATCTGCCGCAGCAATTCTGCGCCTTCAGCGTGCAGCAAATCCTCGCATTCCCCCCTGCTGCTGCTGCTGCTGCTGCTGCTGCTGTTGCTGCTTCTGCTGCTGCTGCTGCTGCTGCTGCCTCTAGAGGAAAGGCGGCGCCTCCGCAGTAAAGTCGTCAGCCCCAGAACGCCGAACAGCAGCTCCAGAGCCGGTTTAGACCCCTCTTGCTGCTGCTGCTGCTGCTGCCGCTGCTGCTGCTGCTGCCGCTGCTGCTGCTGCTGCTGCTGCTGCTTCTTGGCTGCACACAGCTGTTCCACCACGTGTCTCTGGGCATTCTGAGGAAGCCGCTTTATAATTAAAGACAGAAGATGAAAAGCAGCAGCACAAAGGCCCTGCAGCAGCAGAAAACGGCAGCAGCTGCTGCTGCACTTGGTGCTGCTGCGCTTGCTGCTGCTGCTGCTGCTGCTCTTTTGTTGCGTCGCGCAGCAGCAAAAAACAGCGGTGCTGCTGCTGCTGCGCTCAGAAAGCAGCAGCAGCTCAGCAGCTGCTGCTGCTAGGCGAACAGCAGCTTCTGCTGTGGGGAGGTTTGGGTCTCCCCTGAAAGCAGCAGCAGCAGAGAGCAGCCGCTGCAGCAGCAGCAGACTGCAGCAGCAGCAAGAGATGCAGCAGCATCCGCTGCTCCTCTTATCAGCAGCAGAACCTTCCCCCTCTGTCTGCTCTTGCTGCTGCTGCTGCTGCTGCTGCTGCTGCTGCTGCAGCTGCTGCAGCACGCGCAAGGCCGTGTCAATTACAGGGGTCAGGTCTGCTGCTCGCAGCTGCTGCGGCAGCAGCAGCAGCAGCGAGGAGAGCAGCAGCAGAACTTGTGGGGCCACTGCGCCTTTTTGCTTCCGCTGCTGCTGCAGCAGCTGCTGCAGCAAACAAGACCCAATGTCTGCAGCTTCTGCTGCTGCTGCAGCGCCTGCCGCCCCCCCTTCAGGTGCTGCTGCTGCTGAAGCAGAGCCTGCTGCTGCTGCTGCTTGAACGCGCTGCGGCAGGCAGCAGCAGCAGCACGAGCTGCTGCTGCTGCTGCTGCTGCTCCGGAGGTGGCAGCAGCCGTAGAAGTCAACGGCTTCCTCTGTTCCTGCTGCTGCTGCTGCTGCTGCTGTTGCTGCTGCTGCTGCTGTTGTTGCTGCTGCTGCGTGGTCCTGTGCGCGCAGCTGCTTAGCCAGAGCCTCAATAAAGGCAGCAGCAGAACTCACAGAAGCGGCTTTGGAAGCAGCAGCAGCAGCAGCAGCAGCAGCAGCAAAAGAAGCAAAAGAAGAAAAGTCTGTTTCCTTTGATCCCGAAGTTCGCAGAGTCCCCTCTTCAGGGCGAATCAGCTCACAAGAAGGAGCCATTTCCAGACCCTAAACCCTAAACCCTAAACCCTAAACCCTAAACCCTAAACCCTAAACCCTAAACCCTAAAGCGTGTTCAGGTGTTTCCTTGGCACCGCTGGGCGAGGTTGCTGCCAGCTGTACAGATGCCTCGCTGCTGCTGCTGCTGCTGTCGGTGCTGCTGCTAATGTTGGCGCCGCTGGCTTTGCTGCTGCTTCTGCTGCTGCTGCTGCTGCAGCTTGTTTGCTGTTCTGCTGCGGCTGTTGCTGGCGGCGCCGATCCGTTTGCTGCTGCAGCAGCAGCGGCTGCTGTTGCGCTAAAGTCCAAATAAAATCTCCATAATAGAACTATTGTTTCTTTGCTTCCACTATTTGGGGTGTACGTACACCTCAGCAGCCCCCCGTGCCTCTGTGGGGCCCCCGGGGGGCCCGCAAGAGCTCGAGGCTTTGGAGGGCTGGAGCGCCGGAAAAAAGGGAAAAATGAAATAAATAAATAAAATAATTAAAATAATTTGCGAAAATAAATAAATAAAATCAAATTAATGGAATTAAATCCACAAATGGAGCTGCTGAGCAGCAGCGGAATCGACGAAGGCAGCGCCGGATGCGGGGAGCCTCGCCGGAAGCAGATCTAGCAGCTTATTTGCAGATTAATTTGAATTAAAATATAAAATATTTATTTATTTTCATTTATTTCTCCTTTTTGTTTTATTTTATTCTTTTCTTTTTCTGATTTCGCCTCCGCGCCTCTGGGGCTGGCGGCGGCTCGCTGGAGCTGCTCGCGGTGTACGTACACCGCGCGCAGCGGCGCAGAACGGCGGCAAAATTAGTTTTTAAATCAATTAATTAATTTTATTTATTTAATTTTATTCATTTAATTCAATTAAATAGCAAAAGCAAACAAAATAAGGGACAAGCAGCGCAAGCCTCGAAGCTCGCGGCGTTCAATGAACCAGGTTCTAAGGGTTTAGGGTTTAGGGTTTAGGGTTTAGGGTTTCGAATGGAACACCAATCATATTTTTGCATGAATAGCAAACCCAGCCAGCTACTGCAGCAGTAGTTGCAGCAGCTGCTGCCACTGCCAGCTGTGTTGCTGCTGCTGCTGCTGCTGCTGCTGCTGCTGCTCTTGAACAGATTTTGCTTCGTTGATCCAGTGCTGCAACTCCGAGTGCTGCTCGTGTAGCTGCTGCTGCTGTTTGTAAGGGGCCTCTGCTGCTGGCAGTCCTGCTGCTGCTGCTGCTGCTGCTGCTGCTGCTGCTGCTGCTGCTGCTGCTGCTGCCTTTTGAAGGGGCTCTCTCCTGCTGCAACGTGTGCTGCTGCTGCAGCAGCAGCAGCAATTTGCTGTATATTATAATTGGAGCAGTTGCTGCTCTGCCCATTTTGTTAAGTCTCCTGAGCAGCTCTTTAAGACTTTTAAATTAAATTAAATTAAATATTTATTTTTTGTTTTTATTTCTTTTCTTTATTTCAACTGAAGGAGAGCAGAAGCAAACTGCAGCAAAAAAGTTGAAAAGAAAAAAAGAAATAAAAAAGAAAGAAAAGGCTCACGCAACAGCAGCCAATTCGAGGTGTATGTACAGCTGAAGCTGCAGATAAAATGGAAACAATTTGAAAATTAAATGACAAAACAATTGAAATAAAATAAGAAGGAAAAATAAAAGAAATAGGCTTGAATAAATGTTTCATCTACAGCCTTTTTAGGCTCAAAGCGAGCAATGTTTCAGGGTTTAGGGTTTAGGGTTTAGCAGCCATCGAGGGTTTAGGGTTTAGGGCTCAGCTAGGGTTTACGGCGAAGGGCTTAGTGTTCAGGTTTGGGAAGCTGCTAGGGTTTAGGGTTTGGCTTTAGGGCTCGGCTAGGGTTTAGGGTTTAGGGTTTAGGAATGATTTGCCGTTTAGGGCTCAGCAAGGGTTTAGGGTTTGGGTTCAGGTAGGGTTTAGGGTTTAGGGTTTGCGTCTGAATAAATGAAGTGTTCATAGGCCTTAACATCATGTTATTGTTTCTACTTTGAATTATTTTAAATATATTTTGTTTTCTTTTTCTGTTTTTATTTGACTATTATTTCTATTTTATTATTTTCCATTTCCTCTTTTTCATTTTTCTTTTTATTTCCTCCTTCGCGGTTTTCCCCAAGGCCGCTGAGGTGTATGTACACCTTGGCAGCCCCACAAGGCGGTTTCTTTGAATTCAAATTTTGAATTTGAATTTGCTTTTTGTTGCATGCAGAATATATTTTAAATCATTTATGCAATAAGAGAACAAACAACTTTTAAATTTGAATAAAAATGAACAAAATAAATAAAATAAATTAAAATAATTAAAATAATTAAATATAAATAAATATAAATAAATATAAATTCACTTTTTTGCATTTTTTGAATTCAACTTTGCCAGCAGGCGGCGTCTGGTGCTGCCAGATCACTATTGCCTTCTGGCCTTGTGCGCAGCTGAGACCCAGGAGGGTCTTTGGGATAATTTTAATAATTTTAATTATTTTAATTATTTAAATTATTAAAAATAATTAAAATAAATTAAAATAAACTAAAAAAGAAGGTAAAAAAGCAACAGAAACCCGCAGAGGGGTCTGAGGGCCCCCTGGTGTTCTGGGGGCCCCCGTGCATGCGCTTTGGCTGGCCGCTGGCGGTGCTCTCTGGCTGCCACTTTTTCTTTTTTTCTCAATTAGAATTATTTTATTTATTAAAATTAGAGAATTAAGAATTGAAAAAAAGAAAACAGAAGGAAAATTGACGGAGATCCAGCGGGTGGGGCCCCTGCTGCCGCGGCTCCCCCGTAAGCTCTACTTCGCTCTCCCGCAGTTTCTTTTCTTCTTATTTCCTTTTTCTTTTTTCCAAACTATTTAATTTATATATTTTGAGCTGTACGTACACTTTATTCACTTCTTCCTTCATTCCTTTTGGCGCTTCCCGCGTGCCTGCTGCCGCCGCTGGGGTGTACAGACAGCTCTTCTCTCTCGCAAAACCACCCTCGAACTGGACCAGCGAATTCACTTTTTGGTTTCTTGAAAGCCGGAGTTTCGTCGCAAGACTTCAAATAAAACCAAATAAACAAAACTGCCTTCAAATTCGAACATCCGCGGACTCCGATCTGCAGGTTTCTTGCTGGTCGAACACTTGAGCTGTACGTACAGCTGGCGGCGCAGAACGCGGGGAGAAAGCGGGAATTTCGAAGCTTCAAAACACAAAAAGATAAATGAATTTTGAAGATTCAAAAGACAAAAAGATATATGAATGAATAAGTGATCGAGTTCAATCCAAAGAAGTCCTCTTTTTCGCAAAATGGCGCAGAATGTGGAAATTGAATCGGCCGAGTAAGCAGCGGGAGTTCGGGTGTATAGGCAGCTCGGGTGTACGTACACTTCAAAATTCGCGTTTTTTTCGCCAAGCCGCTAAAAGAGCCGACAGTTCTTTTTATTTGCATTTAATTAATTTATTTTTGTTTGCATTTATCTTTTTTCTGTTTTTCTTTTTATTTTTTGAGCTGCTGCTGCTTTTTCAAAGCGCTTTCTGCTGCTGCTGCAGCTGCGCACTCCAGTTGTTGCAATTAGTTTCGATTATTGCTTTTGAATTATTATGTGGAAATTGAATCGGCCGAGTAAGCAGCGGGAGTTCGGGTGTATAGGCAGCTCGGGTGTACGTACACTTCAAAATTCGCGTTTTTTTCGCCAAGCCGCTAAAAGAGCCGACAGTTCTTTTTATTTGCATTTAATTAATTTATTTTTGTTTGCATTTATCTTTTTTCTGTTTTTCTTTTTATTTTTTGAGCTGCTGCTGCTTTTTCAAAGCGCTTTCTGCTGCTGCTGCAGCTGCGCACTCCAGTTGTTGCAATTAGTTTCGATTATTGCTTTTGAATTATTACTTTTTTTTATTTTGGATTTAATTTGTTGTTTAAATTGCATTTAATTTATTTTATTTTCAAATTTAATTCAAATTTTCCTTTTTTGCTTTTTTTCCGCAGTGTCATCCGCCTCATTCTTCAGTTTCTGGCGGAGAGCAATTTGCCCCGAAGTGTTCAAGTGGGTCAAAATTAAAATTATTTTATTTATTAATTTTATTATTAATATTATTGTTATTTGTATAAATAGTCATTTAATTTTATTATTATTTGTATAAATAGTCATTTAATTTAAGTTTATCATTGTTAATATAAATAGTTATTTAATTTTATTGTTTTGTAGTATAAATAGTCATTTCAATTTATCTTTTATGTTTATCTTTTCGTGTTAATCTTTCCATATTTGTCTTTTCGTGTTTATCTTTTTGAATTCATCTTTTTGAATCCATCTTTTCAAGTTTATCTTTCTTTTTAAATTCACCTTTTTAAATTCACCTTTTTAAATTCGTCTTTTTAAATTCACCTTTTTAAATTCATCTTTTTAAATTCATTTTTTAAATTCATTTTTTCAAATTCCCCTTTTTAAATTCATTTTTTAAATTCATTTTTTTAA